AAATATTTTGTGTCGGAAAGGACTATCACATACCCTTTATAAAGGCGATCAGTTTTCGATGCCATCTTACTACCTATCAACGCCAAATAATGACAGGCTAACTTGCATATTCAAACTCATTTCAATAGAACGTTCTTACACCATCAATATTTCGGCTCAGCTTATTCAATCTGTCACATTTCATTCTACAAAACGTCCCAGACTTTTATATTTTAGAATTATCAGAATGGTTTAAGTTATTCAAAATACAAAAATAAATAATAACAAATAATTTGTAAATTATTCTAGCATTAAAGAAAAAGAAAATAGAAATACTAAAACATAATTGTAACATTGTAGCAAAAATAATGCTTCATAGAATTTTGATTTTGATTTAAGATATATAGCTTATACTGCATTACAGAATTTTTACCTGCCTAAATCCTACTGGAATAATCATTCTGTGAATTGCATTTGCCTGAAGTTAAGAGATGGATGATATTTTGGTCTCTAATGAAGGCTTCAGCACACCCCTCAACTCCAGTAAGTACATAGAGGAGTCAAAAATAATTTACAGTTTTTTTGTGTATGTTTATTAATTTATTCAAATCCTTTGTGAAATCCTACGTTTATTGACATAAAATCCTGGGTTATATTCGCTTCGGTGGACACAGCAGATAGCCAAATGTGGTTTTGCTCTAAATCAAACCTTTTAATTTAAAAAGAAAACTGTTTCCAACATTTTTTAGTTATTAATTAAAGAAGAGATAAAATAACTTGCAAAAATTACTTTTATACAGAAATTAAACATTTAACTAAGAGTTTTCTTCGATTCTATAATGTTTTTGAAATGATATATGTAAAAATAAAATAAAAAATTCTGTGAACACATAATTCAACAAATATCATTTAATTATCAACTGGAATTCTGAATTGAAAATGAGATTTTGACATAAAAATGTGCTCTCGAGTGGCTCAACAGTAAGTTCGAAGGCTTAAAATGCAAAACATCGAGTTTCAATACCCGTGGTGGTGGCTGACATAGCACAGATAACCTACTGTGCAGCTTTGCGCTTTACAAAACAAACCATAAAAATATTTTCGTTTTATAAGTACATGAAGCTATTATCTAAGCGTTTTATGGGCGCCCCCCAGTGGCACAGCGGTATGTCTGCGGACTTACAACGCTAGAAACCGGGTTTCGATACC